ACTGACGAGGTATGTATCAGACAAGCTGATGAAAATCCTCAGTATAACCAACTTACTATTTCTGGTCCATCATATATGATCAGCATCACAAATGCCCTGTATGTGATTGGAAAGTGAGTATGGCAGTCCCTCCAGATATTGTGAAGTGTAGCAATTGCTCTGCTAAGTTCAAAGTGTCTAAAGCAAAGGAGCAGTCTATGGCAAAGGTGCAGATCAAGGATAATAATGGAGAGATGCATAAAATTACAATGTTTACTACTATTCTTTCTACATTGCTCAACACTGCTCAACCTCGTGAGACTATTGAAGAATATCTCTTGTCAATGGACAACATCAAAGTTCAAATAAACAGCTCTAATATAGTCACAGCAGTTGATAATGATGACTAACTCTCATTAATACTCAGTTTTCTGACTGGTTTGATCATGCATACACATTATAATCATTGACTTTTATTCGTTCAAAAGAAATTTATGTGTTTTAGAATCTATAATACTCAAATGTATCAATAAAGCTCGCTTAGGCTCGCCCCTACAATGTACTACATTCACCTAGTATTGAATATGATAATTGGTAATAATAAGAGATTCATTATTCAAGCCATTGTAGGAACTAAAGATGAGGTAGATCTTCTTAAAGATCAATATATTAGAGGAACTTACAAGCCTGACTGTTTGAGAGGTATGATAGAAGATGAGGAAGATGTAGGTATGAATAGTGATGATGATCAAGGTACATGTAAGTGTATATTTTTAAATTTAAAGATTAAAATGTATACTTAACCACTAAGAAGAATACTCAGATAAATGGCAAGGACGCTGGAGCTATGAATTCTGCTCAGTCTATTGATTATGATCAAGTTACTAAATGTAAGAAGAAAACTGCTGGTCAACTTAAGAAGACAACTGTCGAAGAAAAGGAACAGAAAGGTATGTACATGCGTATGTACAATAACTTAGTAGTTCAACATTAACTTTTATCATTATTATAAGGAACTGTCTACTTTAAGTGTTATCGCTGTGACACTGTCTCCTCTACATCTACTACAAATCCTAATAAATCTTCAGACTCACAAGGATTTATGGTGCAGCATAACCAGACTACAATGTACATGTATGTGTGATGCTAATTAAGGTTGGACTTTCTATGCAATTTTAGCTAAAGTAATAGCAATACTTCTTTCTGGAACTAATCCAATCTTTGTCTCAGAGAGTGGCAAAACTTGAGAAGACTTGTTTTTGCAAATGGCATCTCTGACTTCAGAAATGGTAATTTTGATTTCAATGTAAATGGAATAAATTTTTAGTTTGCAATTGTAAATTCACTAAGTCACCTTTAACAAAAATTATTCTGATGTGCTAAAAATTTATTTTTGTTGAATGAATTAAATGTGGGAACTAAAAACAAGGTGAACAATATTAAGATCAGTTTGTAAATACCAGATTTTTGAGAGGCTTGACAGTGGAAGATGACAATAATAATATGATAGGACAGAACCTCCCAAACATGCTAATGCTGTGTATTTAAAAAAGGTGCTCCTGTGAACAGTATTGTTCATTTACAACAAAGGACTTGACAATAGATAAAAATATTAGTATATGAAACGATGCAAAGAATAACAAGAGGAAATAAAATAAACTGGACAAACAGGAATAACGAGAACAGGCCTCCAATAAATGTGAAAAACCTCCTCAAAATCACACAAATCCTTAGCCTATGCAGCACAGCTTTCCATACAAAATCCATAGCTGGTCCTCTGGCTTTTGTAGAAGTGTGGTGTGGTTCTCTCATTCATATCAAATTACAATTAGTATGCTACAGATAAAGCAAGCTCTTGCCAGTCTCATCACCAGCAGTTGCACTCCATTAATATATGCAGCAATAGAGCTTGAGAGCTCATTATTCTGAGATACGGGGTAATAATGATCAGCATTTTGAATGGAAAGATTCAATGGAAATAGAATGAAGTAAACTAGAAAAGAACTTTGGAATAACAGCTACTCTTTTAAGCTACGGGAAGAAAAAATTGGTGCTGCTAAGCATCTCATAAAACAGATACAGTGCAATGTGCAGCAGATTCTTCACTATTGCTAGTTTTCTGGTACACCAAATGTGACAGGTTTGCAAAAAAGAAAAATCTATTTGAAAAACCCAGTAAAAGAATCCAATAATCAAGTCAATATTTAAAGAAACCCAATCTCAATATCCAAATCCAAATATGTAATCTCAGTAATTTATTAACCATTATTTATAGTTCACTAACCATTATAAATAGTAAATTGATCATTATTATAATTAAAATAATACATATGATTAATTAACTTAAATGACATGGTGAAAAATAATAGCTAATGTATAGCTGCTTAATTTCAAGGGTACAATTTTCACTGTATTCGCGAATTCTCCGTATCAGCAAAAGTTAATTCAATAAATTATCTGTCTCAACCTACATGTATATTCACATGTACTTTTTAAAATAAAATGCTGCATGGCTCTCTAGCTCTTGAAAATGGCTTCATAAAATGTGAACCACATAAGCTAATTCCCAAAAAAGACTTATGGCTTGATTTGCAAAAGTTTATTGCCTTAAACCTTTGTGGCCATAGCTACTGTAAGTTTAACAAATATGATGATCCAAAAAATCTAAAAATCCAGCACAAAACTGGCTGGATTTTGAATCTACTAAACCTTTGGAATCTGAAAGGGCAGAACCTACAAGACATGATTAAGTTGTGGGTACATGTGTTTAAAAAAGGTACTCCTGTGAACAGTTTTGTTCATTTTACAACAAGGAACTTGACATTTTACAACAATATTTGTATATGAAATAATGCAAAGAATAACAAGAGGAATTGAAACAAACTGGCCTAACTGGAATAACAAGAACAGGCCTCCAATCAATGTGAAAAACTTCCTCAGAAACTCAAGTCTTTAACTTATGCCGCACAGTTTTCCATGCAAAATCCATAGCTGGTCATCTGGCCCTTGTAGAAGTGTGAAGTGGTTCTCTCGTTCATATAATATCACATTACAAATATTCAGCAGTAAAAGCAAGTTTTGCCAGTTTCATCATCAGCAGATGTATTCCATTAATGTAGGCAGCAATAGACCATGAGAGCTGTAGCTGTGACTGATGAAGGCAGCATATAAATATCATTATTTTGACCATCTACATTGTATGCATAATAATGACCATCAATTTGGATAGCAAGATTCAATGGAGAAAGAATGAAGTAAACTTACTAAACTATAAAAGCACTTTTTGAATAGTCTGGATGTTACTCTTTCAAGCTACAGAAGTTGGTTGGAAAGGATTGGTGAGGCAAATCATCTCATAAAACAGATACAGTGCAATGTTCGGCAGATTCTTTAATATTTCTAGCTTTCTGGTTTAGCCCATTGGTACACCATATGTGAGGGATTTGCAGAAAAGAAAAATCTTTTTAGTAAAAGAATCCAATAATCAAAAAACAATAGTAATCAAGAAAGTCTTAGCAATAATCCAAAAAAACCAGTCACAATGTCCAAATCATGTCTGTGATTTATTTACCATCATTAATAGTTAAATAACCATTACTAATAGTTAATTCAATGTAAAATAATAATTAACTTGAATAATGTCGAGAATACTAGCTAATACTGTAGTTTTCACCATTTTAGCAGATTTTAATATCTATGAAGTTAATTAATTCTTTAAAAACATCCGTCTCAAGCTATAATCACGTGTACTTCAATAAAATGGTGCATGGCTCTCTGGCTCTTGAGTGTGGCTTTATAAAACGTGGACGACAAAAGTTAATTTGCCAAAAAAAGACTTGTGGCCTGATTTGAGAAAGTTTATTGCCTTAAGACTTTGTGGCTAGAAAGTAAGTTTTAAAAAATAATGATGTAAAAATGCAAAAAAATTCCAAAAAATACAGCCAAAATCAAGGTGGATTTTAAACCTACATATGTACAACACCTTTGGAGAAAGTTGCAAACCTCTTAATCATGTACTACCACCATCCATGTAATTAATTTCTTTCGAAACTATTACCGCATTAACTCTTGTGAGTCCTGATGTAATCCATTCATACATGTAGAGGTCTATATAACCTGGATTGTGTGATGTAAATGTAACTCTCATTATGAGAGTATTGGAATAATTCTTCCCCTCGTACATGTACAGGGGGATGTCACTTGCATAAGGTCTGTAATAATATTTGCAATGTGGATCAAAATGGCGTCAATTAATCAAGACCGAACTAAATATAGATCAAGATATCAAAGGCTGCTATCCAAGAGAATAAGAGATCAGGCACTCTCAAAGCTCTATACTTTTCAGTGTATTCTCGTTTTCAACCATGCATGTTTGCCATATATTCATAATTTATTTATAACTATCGGATTACGCCCATACAGTATACGTGTATCTCTCTAATATAGTGATCAGGCTCATCACCCAGTTGTAAATACTAATTAAATTAATACAGGCTTTATTCAAATGACCGTGGTACATAACAATCTACAAAGTACAAACTAACCTTTAAATAAATCAAATTCCTCATTAATGTGAAGGAACTTGAATGCAATCCAAGCAATGTGGCCACACTTCTCGTTTATCTTTCAATGTCTTTCTCATAACACCAACTTTCACTTTCCAGTTTGTTCAGTTTCCATACGAACAGTACTGTAGACTAAAAACACTCTACGAGAGACACAGACTAAAGACAGACAAAGACTAGGGTAAGAAACTAAGACATAGTGCTCCTTACAGCCATTTCCAGATTCCCACGTGCTGCTGTCAGCAGCACGTGGCCACACTTCTCGTTTATCTTTCGATGTCCTTCTCATAACACCAACTTTCACTTTCCAGTTTGTTCAGTTTCCATACGAACAGTACTGTAGACTAAAAACACTCTACGAGAGACACAGACCAAAGACAGACAAAGACTAGGGTAAGAAACATAGTGCTCCTTACAGCCATTCCCAGATTCCCACGTGCTGCACTGCTGCTGTCTGCTGACTGAGCTGCGCTAGCTGAGCTAATAAAACTGAATGGGTGTGGCTCATTAGTGTTTTATATTGTTGGTGTAATGTCTAAAGGTCAGTTTCTGTTTTCTTCCTCCTCTTTCTCATAATGTTTGTATTTTACAGGTATCTATCAAGTGGGAGAGATAGCATATCACTCAGCTCCTGTAGTTGGAGAATCAGTGTTCCTGTGGGGAGGGAATAGGCCTGACTTACCTCGTGTTCATGATTCCCCACAAAAGAGGAAATTGTTGTCCACCATTGATAGACAGTGGCGGAGCTGAGCCCGGGCCCACACGGGCCTAGGCCCGGGCATCAAAGCTCTGTAATGAGATTCATTAGATACAATGTAAACAATTCCTTGCCCAAAGTTTAGATAAAGCCAACCACAAGCCTCACCAGAGTACTAACAAGTGCATACAGGTGCATATAAGCAATTAGCAAGCATTTTCAAATTAAAATACCCAAAGAAAAAGCATTATATTAAAAAGGATCTATGGAAAAAGCTAAAAACTGGACACACCCACATCTGGGCCCGGGCATCAGTTTAGTTCCAGCTCCACCACTGTTGATAGACTAGAGTTTAGGACTGGTCGTTGGTCCTCTCATGTGACCAGAGGAACATCACCTCCTCTAGGACCTATGGGATACTTCTGTACTACTAGAAACAATGACATCTTCTTTTTTGGCGGTTACTGTGGACATGACATCTGTTATCATAATGACGTCAACTCATTTAACAGTCTGACATATGAATGGAGTATTATAATACCAACCAGTGATGCTGTAATGAAGAGGATGAGTGGTGGTATGGTGTGTATGGAGTCTATGGGTACAGAATACCTATTTATGATAGGAGGGGCTGGGTCTACACCCACTACATACCAATCACAGTATCAGTATATTCAGTTAGGTACTGGTGCCATTCGTACTAATGAACAGAATTTATTAAATTTATCAACAAGTAAGTATTTATTAATTAATACATAATACTGTATTTCCTTAAATAAAGGCCTGGGTGTCTCTTTCCTAAAATGGTATTTGGACCTCGAAAAAAATTAAAAAATGAAATAAAACTTTGGCCCATAGCAGGATTTGAACCTGGAACCTCATGCACTTGACTCCAGGAACTTAAGGAAGTATCAAGCAAGAGTATATACATGTAATTATGTATTCTTGCTACAAGCCATATGAGTTAGTTCAAGACTAGATTTACAGTTCAATTCTATTGCTACTTTGATGTTTATTTGCATCCCGCTTTTATTTAAGGAAATATGGTACATGTATTACAATCTGTTCACCAGATTGCTGTTAATTAGATTAATGATATTTGTTGGATTACCGTAAAACAAAGAATTTTTTGGCTGCCATTGTGGGGATATAACCTATACAGTAACCAATGGGCCAATAGGCTAAAATCTGCCTCATCTGCTTTTCCACATTACTTATAGAGGCTCCTAATTGTTGCAGTGGTATATACATAAATGGAAATTTAGGTTGGAATATTTTTTTGTGGATGCAACTCCTTTGCTCTGCTGAAATAATGGTAAAATAACACCTTTTCACCACTGAAGACTATACAAAGTATGCCCCCAGGCCCATCATGGCATGATGGCAGTCAGAATAATTCTTTCATTTATGGTATCCAAATGAATATCTTTAAAAATTACTTAATACCATGCATCTCATTCAAGCAGATTTGGTGGATACTCTGCTTGTGATGACATATTTTTCATGCAATCATTATTTTTCTTATCATTAATTATTTTGCCTAATTATAGCATACAGTAGGTGCATGTAAAGATTGAAGGAGCGAGAATGAGCAGGGGTGGAATGAGGGGGCTTGAGCACCTCTGCCTCAGAAAAAATGCTTAAATCCTGGACTCTTGCATCACTACCTAGCATCTTAATTAACATAGTTATGTAACCCCTCTTCTTAATTTTAACAGTTTTTAGTGCTTCAAGGAGCAATGAAAACTACTAAGAGTCATTATGGGTCAGTACTAAGAAGAGTCATTATGGATCAGTATGCTTGAAATTATCTTGACCCCACCTGTAACTGACGAAAGTGGAGGAAAACACCGTTTTAGTGGGTGTGGTCAAAATTTTGGCTTGCTTTGCGTGTTCTCTGGCACCCCCTTTCTGAATTCCTAGATACATGTACGCCCCTGATGAGCCATCATTCTATGAAAATATAGTTGATTTGACTAACTAATTTTGAGGGAAATTAGCACATGCATAAAACTGAGCAAAAATAAAAAATTCAAAATGAAGCCTTCAAGAATGGATGCATCCTACTCCACCTATTAATAATTTGTCCACATGGTCTTAGACTAATTTAGATTATTGATTAACGTCTCTCACCAATGCTGTGTGTCGGTGAGGGGCTAGGTAGTCTGGTTGTCTGTCATTCATTCATTCATTTAGTTTACTGAACTCTAATAATCATTTTACTCCATTTATGAATAGTATTGTCAAATGTTGTCATTTTAAGCCACAACTAACACGTACATTGTATCTATGCAAAGTGGAACAAAATGACCATTAAATTCAGCGTTTTTCACCAACTGCGCATCATCAAATTACTTTGCAGCCATTATTTTTTCTATGCATGTGCATGAATGATACTTGCAGTGTCATACTTAAATAATTCTATAATTATGCTATCTATTTCCATTTAGGACAATGGATTATTCCAACTATTAGTGGTCAGTGTTGTCCTCCTACTAGTAACTTTGCTATTCAAAAGACTACCAATAATAAAGCTGTCATGTTTGGTGGAACAGTGCCTAATGATGGTTATGATGTAGTTGTTAATACGGTCTATATATGTCAACTGAAGTCTGATACTACAATAGTAAGTTATCGTATTATTGCATGGATCAATCATGTTTAAACATTATGTATGGGTACAGCTTGTAATTTGAAAAATGTATGACATATACATGTAAATTTGGTTTAATGATTTATGTAAAATCATGCAATTATCACTAGCATTAACATACTTATTTTATAATTAATTAAGTGGACAAATGCTGAAGTATGATTGAACAGTGTGCATGCTTCATTGATATATTTTATAATATTGATTAATTCATTTTATCTAGCACTGGGAGAGTGTTAAGGGACCAGTAGTTCCTGCTAGTGTACAGTGGCCTGTGGAGAGACGTGAACATGCTTTTACTAGTATCATCAGTGACTCACCTACACTAGTAATGATAGGTGGTGAGGGTAAAGATGATCAGCTAGTAAATGATAGTTGGTTACTGAATACTAGTCCGTACCAGTGGAGCAAGGTATGTGTATAATGTTATTAGTTTACAGTGTACATGTGTGTGATACAGTGATTGTACAGTAGTTGTCATGTTAATGTATTATATTGTATTAATACCTTAGAAATACTCACTGTGTGCATGTACAGTACATGTACATGTACCTAATGCTTGTACATGTACGTGTATATTCCCTTGAATATTTACATGTACTGTATATCATATTTTATATACTATGATAAAAAATATTACCCTACATTTCAACAGATGGTTCTACCAGAATCTGTTACTGGTAGACGCTCTTATTCCTCATCATCAGTCATGATGAGTCCAGACTGTGTGTGGTTGGTGGTAGTGGGTGGGAGAGGAACAATTGAATGGAAAGATGTTGGAAGAGGATATGAGGAACCATTTGGAGGCTATATCACTGATCCTAATATCACAATGTTAATAGAACTAGGTAAGAACTGAACTATTTTGTATTGTATATACTGTATAGAGGGATGTATTGGAGATACAACTTGAGTTTAAGTTTGAATACATCATTGGTGGTATTTCATAACATACTGTACATGTAACATGAGGGAATTATTATTGTTATAATGAACTGCAATGATAGTTGACATAACCAAATTACCATGTTCTGTGTATAGTGCAGTGTATTGGTGCCATTTGGCTGACACTTTATAATTTGTCAATAAAACAACAATTGATGCAAAACATTTATATAGTATTTTACCCTCTAATGCTACATGTATTGTGTTCTATTATTAGTAACAGCATTACATCATGTTTACATGTAATTGTACATACATGAATTATTCCTCCTTCATGTTTCTATTAGTTTTAAGAGAAGGTGAATGGAGAGTAAGTGAAGTACTAGATTCTACTGGTCTGACTACTGAGGGCTATCAAGACAAGTATCAGTTATTATTAAAGACCAGACAATGGTGGCAAGATCAGTTTATAGTATACCCTACAGACAGAGAAGTAAAACTACAAAATTATGTGGAATCGTTGCAGCAGGAGTTAAGAGTATCTGAGGGAAACAAGACCTCACTGCAGGAAGCACTCCTTGAGGCTAGTCAGCAAAGTATAGCCCTCTACTGTGTGTGTGTGTGTGTGTCAGTAGTTATTGAACCTATACCACTAGACAAAGCAAGAGTAAAACCAGTGAAAGAAACTAAACTGTATTCAACTAAAGAGGAACTGTCTACTGGACCAACTGATGGTAAGTATATATACACACACAGTAATAGTTAGAGACTTGTTTGATGTGTGTGTGTGTTTTACTAATTTATAAAGATAATGATGATCTTAATGGAGAGGAGAAGAGAAGGAGGAGGAGCAGACAACAAAAACTAAACAAAGAACCAGTCAAGGTATATCCTTATAATGCTAATATGGTAGTATACATGTACATTTATTTTGTGTAGAAGAGAGCAAGAAACTTAAAGCTAATATAGCCATGCTGACTGAAATAAAATTGCAATTTGAGAAGATAATTGACATTTCAACTGGTAATACTATCAGTATTGCTCTATATAGTGTATACTTTTCATTAGAAGAGAATAAGAAACTTAAAGCTAAAGTTGTTGATAATGAAATGGTAATTGCTAAACTGACAAAAGAGAATTTACAACTAAAGGAAGAGTTGTCAATGAAAGATATTTCAACTGATACTAAGAGTATTCAATGTGATTACTGGACTAAAGCAGGTTACCGTATAGCAGGAAATTTTGGAGGGACTAAAATTTGGCCAATTGCTAAATTTTGGTGATTGGCGGATTTTAATTTGGCAAATTGTGGCCATGTGCCATTAAGCATGCATAAAATGGCGGGTTTAATTTTGGCGAATGGCTATCAAAACGCCAAATTCACCAAATTTAATTCCTTCCAAAATTTCCCGCTATACAGTAGTCAGTGTAGTCTATTGTTTAAGTATTAATAATCTGTTATTATATAGAATTACCATTTGATGGTATGGTAACATTGGGTAAGAAGGTGTGTCTGTATAATGCTAACAGTAGTTATGAGTTACAGTTGGATGAATGTGGTCTTACCCTCTCTCTACCTGATGGACTCTTCTTTCCAGTGGATAGCACTGTCCATGAAGCTGCTGCTCAAGGTCTATGGGGTGGAGATTTTGAGTTCCCTGGAGGCACACATCTGATCAGTAGTGTGTGTTACATATCTGTGTCTCCTACTGTTCCTGAACTGGATAAACCAGTGACTGTGCAGCTAGTACATTGTGCTCATTTGAGCTCTG